GGTTCCTGGGGCAATCCTTCTTTAAGTGGTTCCTCGATCCACAGGAATAACATTCTGAGGTATCCCTGGCCCTATCCTGGAAATCCACCCTCTTTGTGGGTCTAGGGTCCCCCTTGGCTAGTTGGCGTTCCCTCCTCAGGGTGTCCTCTGCAACGAGCTGACTGGTCAGTGAGCCTAGTGTGAGGTATTGCAAGCTGAGGCTATTTAGTTGGGTCATGAAGATGTCCCAGCTGCTATCAAGAGAGTTTATGATTATGCTTATCATGCTCTCTTCAGTGATGATTTCCCCCCTCTGCATGAGTTCTGTCCTTGCAGCATTCATCTTTAAGATGTGCTCACTCATGGGGACCCCTGCCTTATGCTTGGTGGAGTGGAACTCCCTAGATAGTCTAGTGGTGGTGGCTCTGCTTTGGCTATAAAACAGGTTACATAGTTTTTGCATAATATCATAAACAGTTAGATTGTCCTCAATAGATGGATACATAGCAGATGGAATGGAGGTTAACATGATGCAAAATGCCCTGTGATGAATGCAGTCAATTTCCAATGACCAGGGCTTTTGGGGAGGTTTGTTAGCTAGGAACAGTGCATTCTCTCTCATGAGAGCAACTCTTAATTGTTGGCTCCATTCTATAATATTACCCCCATCTAACTGCAGTTTTGGCAAATTGGCATAATTTGCCCCAGAAATGTTAGTAAGGTTACTTACTGGGGGGAGCTGTCCATGGTCCAAGTTGTGATTAAACTCACAATAAGGCTTTGGGATGTCTGTGGCCATTCTGTACTTGCTTGGATCTATGTAACTTGCTTCTCTTATTACAGGCAGGTACTGGGCATGCGCGAAGCTCATTCCGCGCTGGAGTCCATCGGGTGAGGTTCCTGTTGCTGGAGCTCCCAGGCCTAGGCCTAGGCCTGTCGGTGGGAGGCTGGACCCGCCCCCGGTGGGTCCGAAGATCCCCCCTGAGGCTGGACACCACTGCTGGATGGCCGGATCCCCGGCGAAGAAGGGGAGAAGGTGAGGGGGCGACGCGGTCGCAAGTCGAGAACTTTCGCGGGTCGGCGGCGCGGCAGCAGCGGAGGTCGTAGGTTGAGGATTCCCTGCACCCAGCGGCTCGGCGGCAATGGCGGCGGCGGCGGCTGATCCTCCCTCGTGGTCGCTGGTCCCTGGTCGCGTGGACTGGCCTGATGGGTGTCGTGGCGTTGGTGAGTAGCCGGTTCTTCTTTTCTGCCTCGGGCCTCGCGTTGCCGGTGTAGCGGGTGGTGAGTTCGAGTTCTGCGGTTGATTTTTCCTGCAGGTGGGCGGTCTTTTGTGCCGGTTGTTGGTGCGCGCGGAGTTTTTTGTATGCTGTGACTCGGTTGCCTGGTCTCTGTTGGTTGTCCTGGCCTTCTTGTGCCCCCCAGGATTTTTCTTTGATTTTTTGAGTGCTGCAGGAGGCTCGAAAGCGGAGCCTAGGGCAGCGGTGATGGTCTCGATTGCCTTTTGCAATTCGAGATCGGTAGGCGTTTTTCTTTTTGTTATTGCAATCTCTTCGTGGTCGCTTTCAGAGCTGGGTTCTTCGTAGTCGCTTTCTGAGCTCCCCTCGTCTGTTTCGGGGTTCGGGCATTTTCGCACCAAGGGATTCAAATCCTGGCTTCCCATTGGCTGGTGCTCGTCCCAAGATGGCCGCCGGGAAGTGGGCACGGAAATGGATTCTGCCGGCTCAGGATCATCAGGTTGGGGTGGCTTACCCTTTTTTGCTGGCTTTTCTTTCTCGGTGGTCTTTGGGGCCTCGATCGCTGCTTCTTGTTGCTCGAAGAGGCTTTGAAGGTCCGCGATGAGGTTTTCTTTGTCGCTGTTTCCCTCCATCAGTTTCAGGATGGAGAGTTTGAATTTTTTCATTTTCTGTGCTGTTTCTTCTTCCGGGGCGGTGATTTCCTTGGATGGCCCCTCTTCATCTGATTGTGAGTCCAGGCTGGAGTCCTGCTCGCTTCCAGCTTCTGTCTCCTCCATGGCTGTGGCTTTGGTTGGAAGCTTCTCAGCCATCTTCTTGGTAAGAGCTCTGGTCTGTGCTCTGTTTGCTTCTTCTGGGTAGGTGTTGGGTTCAGTCATTGTCTGGAGTTATGGGCAACCGACCTCTGCTACCAATTTGTTAGAAACTGGATCTAGCCCAATAACTCAAAGACATAGCCCAATTCTTTTCAGTAGTTTTATTGTTGATCAGTTGGTACTGGAGGTCACTGACCTTGTACCTTTCTCTTTCAGGTATACATCTGGAATCAATCGTGGAACATGTGGTTGGACCTTTTGTACCCAGGAGGAGGGGCCAAGAGGTAAGGAGTGGTTACAGGGATTATGGGATACGTGGTTAGTTAACCCTTGAAGGACCGGGTGGTCAGGGAGATGTAGTAGTTAGGCATTTATCATGACAGAACAGGACCTGGACCAGGAACCGATGGTGTTCCAGGGTCAGGAACAGGAGCTGGTGGAGGAGAACATTTCAACACTGGATGGTCCAACAATGGAGGGGCCCATTTGATGAAATGGAGGTGCTTCTTAATGGCTTCTGATGAGCGACCTGGGAAGTGGGGGACCATAGTGTGAAGAGCTGCTTCTGTAGCATCTCCATCTTCTAGAGATGCTTGAGGTCTCACTAATCCAGCAGGTCAAAGGCAAAAGAGCATTTGGGAAACAAGGGAGCATCTCTTGCAACTCTGACGTTTGAGGATCTGCAAAGAAAGTCCCAGTGCTTCCATTTTTTTTCATCTTGCTCACATCTTCTGAATTCAACATACAACCTTACTTGAAAGGTGCAGGCTCTTCATTAGAGAAGAAAATACTGATATCAAGTCTCTTTTCTTCTAAGTTGTTCCTGTGGGCACACCAATATTTCCAACAGGGAAACTTCTTTTTTCATATATTTTTAATATAGCCCTCCAGGCTCTTCAATTAGATAAGATCAATTGAAACGGAAGTAATCCACTACTTTTGAAACAGCCTAAACAAACTAAGACAGCCAAAGTACTGTGTAAAATATTGGCATTTAACCAATAAAATTATGCCGTCTTTCTGTTTTTCTCAATTATGCCTGTTGCGCACCTACAATAATGACAGCAGGTAAAGGTAAAGGTTTGGTCCTGTCTGGTCATGTCCTACTCACTGGGAACAGTTCTCATCCCCCTGTATTGTCCGAGGGAGCCAGCGTTGTCCAAAGACATTTTCCTTGGTCATATAGCAAGCCTGGCTGTATGCTGAAAGTACACGAAACACCCTTACATTCCCACCAAAGTGGTACCTATTGATCTACTCACATTTGCATGCTTATGAACTGCTAAATAGGCAATAGTCAACAAACTCTACCATTTCAGGCAAGGGATTGTCCAGCCTCTTCTTGAAAGCCTCCAGTGATGAAGCACCCACAACTTCAATGGATCAGGAAAGAAAACTATGGTCAGTGTAGGCATTTTTTTTGGCGGGGGGAGTGCAAGCTTTCCCAAATCAGTTTGATAATCTGAGGTTCGTGGCCAAGATGTTCAGTCAATAGCAGGGAAGAGAAGACCCTGATTAAATGGAGTGTTTCCATTAAATCCTGATTAATGGACCCTGCAGCACCATCGGTTCCTGGTCCAGGTCCTGTTCTGATCTGATTCTTCTCTTTAATCATGGCTGCTTTTCTGCAGACCCCCCCCCCTTTTTTTTTTTTAACATGATACATAAAATTATCTGAGCATAGTTGGAAGGAAAACATCAATCTCTCGTGCGTGGACAGGGTTACCTTAATAAGAAAACCTCTGCAGGGACACCTCAAGCATAAAGAACACTCCGTGTTAATCAGGATTTAATGGAAACACTCCATTAATCCTGTCTGGTCATGTCCTACTCACTGGGAACAGTTCTCAGCCCCCTGTATTGTCCGAGGGAGCCAGCGTTGTCCAAAGACATTTTCCTTGGTCATATGGCAAGTCTAACTGTATGCTGAAGGTACACGAAACACCCTTACATTCCCACCAAAGGGGTACCTATTAATCAGTGGTGAAATCTAAAATTTGTTACTACTGGTTCTGTGGGTGTGGATTAGTGGTGGTGGGGTAATATGACTGGGTAGGCGTGGCCAATTTTTTTTACTTTTAAAACCATTTTTTACATGTAAAACTATGTAAAAAAAATGGTTTCAAGAGGCTCTGACGATCCCAGCTGAGTTGAGAGGGTTCTGCCGATCAGGCAACTCAGCTGGGATCGTCAGAGGCATTTAAAAGAAAAAAAGCCTCTGATGATCGCCCGGCTCAGCTGGGCATGGGGGGCGGGGGCAGGGATTTTTGCTACCAAACTGCCTGCCGCCATTGCTACCTACTCGCCGGAGCCGGTCCGAACCGGGAGCATTTCACCCCTGCTATTAATCTAATCACATTTGCATGCTTATGAACTGCTAAATGGGCAGTACTAAACGTTCAACCACAATTGAGCCCATATTTTCTGTTGCAAAGGGTGACACTTGTTAAATGAGGTTTGTCCCTCCTTACGACCTTTTATTGGGAATGCTGCAACAGTCGTAAGTGTGAAAAGCAGCCATAAGTCACTTTTTTCAGTGCCGTTGTAACAGTCATAATTCGAGGACTACTGTACAGGATTCTTGACCAAGGTGATCAAACATTGCATTTGATCGGTGGAAAAAATACACATCTCTCTTAAATTTAAAAAACACTTTTGGGACATGATCTGGATGACTGAAAATCTATGAAAATCTCCATAGACATCCTGATAGAGAATTTACCCTTTTATTTTAATCTCTTGGATTTCTTCAAAAAAAAATGCAGAATGTTACCCAGTGTTTGTGTGTTTTCCCATGATTTGTCAAAAAAGGTGTCATAGATGCTCACCATTCTTACCCAGTTTTGAAATATAATAATAAAAATTTATCAGAGAGGTGGATAAAAAAAATAATAACCATCAGCCTACTACCATTCCACAAATCAATTTGCAAAAAAGGAAAATGGACGCATCACATCAAACGCATTCCCCACACTTGAATTGAAATGCAGAAGTTTATTCAGTCACCAAAATACAAAAACAGCAGAATGAAACTTGTAGACAGAATGGGGAGAGATGGTAAGAGGAGAAAGAAAGCAGAAGAGGGATTATGGGACATCTTGTGGGAAAGGCCAGAAGCATAAATCTCCATGGAAGGTCCATGGTGGATGAGAGCAAAACTCAAAAGAATATTTTAAATAGGCTTATTGCAAAGGTTAGTTGAACAACATTTGACGTTAATGTCATAAGCCGGTTCAGGGCATTTATCAGCACATCCGTTTTTCCGTACTGGAAAGGAAACGTAAAACAAAAGATTTACTAAGAATTGATCTCTGGTTGTTGCTGAACAAAACGCTAAACCCACCCTGAACACACAATCAAGCATTCCCTCCCAACAGATCTCCTTCCTCTTCTACTGAATACTCGGGAGTAAAATATTAAACAAGCATTCGGGGGAAGGTCCTCCTCCAGAGGATGTTTCATGGCTTAATCAGCAAGGTCCAAACTTGGTCATCTCCATAGAAAACCCCTGTTCTACCAGCTTTTCCTTTTCCCTTTCTATGAAGAAAGTTCCCCTCCCAATCTTGGGTGTTCCTGGGATAGAAGGGGCTCCCCATTCTAAGTCCCCCATTCCAGGCATCCCTTAGACCAGGGGTGTCAAATTCAAGACCTGGGGGCCAGATCCAGACCACAGGGTGCTTAGATCTATCCCATGGGGCTGGCCTGGAAACAGCAAAGGACTGGCCCGCAGTGCCTTTGTAAGGAAAAATGGAGCTTGGTGGGCATCATGCACCCCTCACACACTCCATTTTCTATGGCAGATGGCTATCAAAACAAATTAAAAACAAAAAAAAATAGGAGAAATGTTCCCCCTTTTCCATGTGTGCATGCAAGTATGGACAGGAAAGGAGAAAGGGAAAGAGGAAAGAAAAGAAAAGAAAAGAAAAGAAAAAGATGGGAAGATGGGAAGAGAGCAAGGAAGGAAAAATAAGGGAAGAATAAAGTAGAAGGAAGGAAGGAAGGAAGGAAGGAAGGAAGGAAGGAAGGAAGGAAGGAAGGAAGGAAGGAAGGAAGGAAGGAAGGAAGGAAGGAAGGAAGGAAGGAGATTATAATGAGAGTGACAGAGGGTCTCAGGGAAGTTCTGCCTTAGCAATTGTCCACCACAGGTGCCCCTGACATGAGTGACGTCTAGCTGGCCAAGCTACACACCCCTGGGGCTCTGAGATCAAACACAACCCTGATGCAACCCTCAATGAAATCAAGTTTGACACCCTTGCCTTAGTCTGTCTGGCAACCGGCCGTGACTTCAGGGCACAGACAGGTCCTATATGACCCCCAATTTAGGAGCTCTAATTTCCATACAAGAAGAAAAGCTGTGAGAAAGGAAAGGAAGTTTCCTTACTAATTTTTGCATATTCATACTTCATATTATAACAGTACTTCTCTCCTGCGGAACATGTTGCTACGAATTTGTCACTGTAACATTGGAGACTGGTGACTGGATAAGAGAAAGAAAAGAGAGCACTCTTATTTTGATATTTCTTTGATCTTATTATGTATTAGATCATAGATTATCTCTGTAGAATAAAGTCAGCTGGGAAAATCTCATTACAAAGATAATAGAACAGTCTGCGAACAAGGAGTCTGTGAGGTCCAGTCCCACCTTAACCAAGAAATCCACACCAGTCAATCTTTCTCTCCCCCAACCCCTTTCACTGGGTGGCTGTTCACTGGGGAAATGGTATCTGAGCATGAAAGGAGTATTCGGTTCATTCACCTCCTTGAGTTAATAATAAATATTATGAAGGTGAGATTTGAAAAAAAAAAAAAACTTTTCTGAAAGAGACCATAAAGTGTCAGCAGGCGAGAACTTGAGAGGTTGGTCTCTTTTTGGAGGCTGGTTAATCCTAAACTCCCAGAAATGGCAACCAACTTCAGGTTGATGTCAAAATAAATCCATGCTTGACTTGAAGGTTGGCATCTCTGAACCCCTTTGGCCATACAGGTGAAAAAACTCAGCATTAGTAACATCAGAGAGAGGGAGAAAAGGATTAAGTAAAGGAGATTTTTTTTCATCACCTTCCCAAGAGTAATGCATGGCAGAATTCACTACAGATAGACTGCCTCTACTTTCAGAGGCAGTCTATCTGAGAAGAACAGCTGGGCCAGCCACTGTCCCAGCTATGGGCTTCTCTTTGAATTGAGAACTTCTCTTCCCTCCTAAAGTTTCCAATGGACTCTCCTTACGCAGAGCAGAAGAGTGAAAAAGTCCCACCACCAGAATGGAGCACAACTGCTTCAAATACCAAAGTTCTCTCAGCCTGTCTTGGATCATCACCCAAAATCAAAGCTTCAGCAGCCTACCTGGGTCCTTGCAGATGAAAGCCACCAACAACAAGGCAAACAGCAAAGCTTTCATCTTGCAATCTTCTCTGCAGCCTCCAAAGTGCAGTCCAGGCAGGGAGAAGGCAGTTATGTACACCTCTACCCCGCCTTGTGGGGGCTGGAGATCCAGGTTCAAGAGAGCATGGAGGCTTGGGAAAGAAGGGAGGGGGAGGGGCTGTGATCTCGTTATCCCTGCTACCAAAAGGGAAACTAGATCTGCCCAGAGGAAGAACCAACCGGTCCCCCTATTGAAAAAAGGAGGTATCATTCCATGCAAAATGTGGGCTCCTGGACAATTGCCATTTCCTCCTGAATTGATAGAAGGTAGCACAACCTGCGCAGAGGACAAAATTAAAGCAAGCGGAAATGTTACACTCAACTCCCTACAGGAGGAGAAGTGAACTGAGCTGATTGCTGATAAAGCTTGAATGATTTATGCTTTTTCAATTAATCAGAATCGAACTGGAAGGGACATCAAGAGGTCTTCAAGTCCAACCCCCTGCTCAAGCAGGAGACCCACTACCATCTCAGACAAGGGATTGTCCAGCCTCTTCTTGAAAGCCTCCAGTGATGAAGCACCCACAACTTCTTGCTTTGATCACAAGCATGCTGCTTAAATATTGCACATATTGTCAAAATTGCCCCTTGATCCAGGCACAAAATTCACTAGAAAACCTAATTAAGGGCCAACATAGGCATTTTTTGGAGTGGAAGCTTTCTCAGATCAGTTTGATAAGTTGAGGTTCATGGCCAAGATGATCAGTTGATAGCAGGGAAGAGAACACCCTGATTATATGGTTGGGTTCTGGGTGTTCTTTATGCTTGAGGTGTCCCTGCAGAGGTTTCCTTATCAAGGTAACCCTGTCCACGCACGAGAGATTGAGGTTTTCCTTCCAAACCATGCTTAGATAATTTTATGTATCCTGCTAAAAAAAGGGGGGGTCTGCAGAAAATCAGCCATGATTAAAGAGAAGAATCGGATCAGAACAGGACCTGGACCAGGAACCGATGGTGTTGCAGGGTCAGGAACAGGAGCTGGTGGAGGAGAACATTTCAACACTGGATGGTCCAACAATGGAGGGGCCCATTTGATGAATTGGGGGTGCTTCTTCATGGCTTCTGATGAGCGACCTGGGAAGTGGGGGACCGTAGTGTGAAGAGCTGCTTCTTTACCATCTCCATCTTCTAGAGATGCTTGAGGGCTCACTAATCCAGCAGGTCAGAGGCAAAAGAGCATTTGGGAAACAAGGGAGCATCTCTTGCAACTCTGAAGTTTGAGGATCTGCAAAGAAAGTCCCAGTGCCTCCATTTTTTTCATCTTGCTCAAATCTTGAAAGGTGCAGGCTCTTCATTAGAGAAGAATATACTGATACCAATTCTCTTTTCTTCTAAGTTGTTCCTGTGGGCACACCAACATTTCCAACAGGGAAACTTTTTCCTTCATATATTATTAATATAGCCCTCCAGGCTCTTCAATTAGATAAGATCAATTGAAACGGAAGTAATCCACTACTTTTGGAACAGCCTAAACAAACTAAGACAGCCAAAGTACTATGTAAAATATTGGCATTTAACCGATAAAATTATGCCGTCTTTCTGTTTTTCTCAATTATGCCTTTTGCGCACCTACAATAATGACAGCAGGTAAAGGTAAAGGTTTGGTCCTGTCTGGTCATGTCCTACTCACTGGGAACAGTTCTCATCCCCCTGTATTGTCCGAGGGAGCCAGCGTTGTCCAAAGACATTTTCCTTGGTCATGTGGCAAACCTGGCTGTATGCTGAAGGTACACGAAACACCCTTACATTCCCACCAAAGTGGTACCTATTGATCTAGTCACATTTGCATGCTTACGAACTGCTAAATTGGTGGTACTCAACATACAACCACAATTGAGCCCATATTTTCAGTTGCTAAGGGAGACACTTGTTGAATGAGTTTTGTCCCTCCTTACAACCTTTTATTGCCACCATTGTTCAATGAAACATTGTAGTTGTTGGGTTAATAACATGGTTTTTCAGTGAACCTGGCTTCCCTATTATCATTGATTGTAAGAAGGTCGCAAAAGGGGATTCCGTGACCCTTGGACACTGCAAATGTCATGAACATGTGCCAGTTGCCAAGCGTCAGTTGCAAAATTTTGATCATGTGAGTAGGGAATGCTGCAACGGCCATAAATGCAAAAAGCAGTCATAAGTCACTTTTTTCAGTGCCATTGTAATAGTCATTAAATTAACAGTCATCATTTGACGACTACTGTGTCAGAATATTTATGACTGGGAAGACATGGTAACAAAGTCAGCCAATGAATAGGCATAGTAACTAAGTCAGCCAATTGGGAGCTGAGACAGCCTGGAGCCAGGGCATGTCTTAGTCTGCAGCTTCTGAGTCTGTGCAGAAAATTGAAACGGAAACTAACCCGTCTGTGCATGCTGTCTGCTCTGCTGAAATGAAACAAACTGTTCTCTTCTGTTGGTATTGTATATATATTCTTGTATATAAAGAAGTTCCTTATATATTAAATCAATCCTGCTGAATCAGTGATCTGTGTGTGCTTCTGGATTTGAATTTTGCAAGAAACTCTGACATACTGTACAGGATTCTTGACCAAGGTGAGCAAACATTGCATTTAATCAGTGGAAAAAATACAGATCTCCCTTAAACTTAAAAACACTTTTGGGACAACCATGATCTGGATGACTGAGAATCTCCATAGACATTTTGATATAAGGATTCTCCTTCGATCTTAATCTCCCAGATTTCTTCAGAAAGGGCACAGAATGTGACCCGTGTTTGTGTGTTTTCCCATCATTTGTCAAAACGGAGTCATGGATGCTCACCACTCTTATCCAGTTTTGAAACATAATAATAAAGATTTATCAGGGAGGCAGATAAACTTCAGCCTACTGCTGTTCCGCAAATCAATTTGCAAAAAAGGAAAATGGACGCATCACATCAAACGCATCCCCCACACTTGAATTTAAATGCAGAAGTTTATTCAGTCGCCATAATACAGAAACAGCAGAATGAAAGTTGTAGAAAGAAGGGAGAGAGATGGTGAGGGATCAAAGAAAGCAGACGGGGGATTATGGGAAATGCCAGAAGCATAAATCTCCATGGAAGGTCCATGATGGATGAGAGCAAAACTCAAAAGAATATTTTAAAGACGCTTATTGCAAAGGTCAGTTACGCAACATGCAACCTTCTTTAAAAGGGATGATTCCGGGCATTTTTTGGCACATCCGTTTTCCCGTACTGGAAAGGAAACATAAAACAAAACATTTACAATACCAAAAAATTGATCTGCATTTCCTTCTGAACAAAATGCTAAACCCATCCCGAACACACATTCATGCATTCCCTCCCAGCAGATCTCCTTCCTCCTCTACTGAATCCTCGGGAGTAAAATATTAAACAAGCATTCGGGGGAAGGTCCTCCTCCCTTGGATGTTTCATGGCTTAATCAGCAAGGTCCAAACTTGGTCATCTCCATAGGAAACCCCTGTTCTACCAGCTTTTCCTTTCCCCTTTCTATGAAAAAAGTTCCCCTCCCAATCTTGGGTGTCCCTGGGATAGATGGGGCTCCCCATTCTAAGTCCCCCTTTCCAGGAATCCCTTAGACCAGGGGTGTCAAATTCAAGGCCTGGGGGCCAGATCCAGACCACAGGGTGCTTAGATCTATCCCATGGGGCTGGCCTGGAAACAGCAAAGGACTGGCCCGCAGTGCCTTTGTAAGGAAAAATGGAGCTTGGGGGGCATCATGCAGTCCTCACACACTCTGTTTTCTATGGCAGATAGCTATCAAAACAAATTAAAAACAAAAAAAAAGGAGAAATGTTCCCCCTTTTCCATGTGTGCATGCGAAAAGGGACAGGAAAGGAGAAAGGGAAAGAGGAAAGAGAAAAGAAAAGAAAAGAAAAGAAAAGAAAAGAAAAGAAAAAGAAAAGAAAAGAAAAGAAAAGAAAAAGAAGGAAAGATGGGAAGAGAGCAAGGAAGGAAAAATAAGGAACAAAGGGAAGGAAGAATAAAAGAGAAGAAAGAGGGAGGGAGGGAGGCAGGGAAGGAAGGAAGGAAGGAAGGAAGGAAGGAAGGAAGGAAGGAAGGAAGG